ATTGTATTATTGTAGATGTGTTTCTTTGATTTTGTTATTAATTGGTTTATATAGTTGGCTGCTCCCACATTAGGGGCATAGATATTTAAAATTGTTAGATCTTCTTGTTGGACAGATCCTTTGAGTATGATATAGTGTCCTTCCTCATCTCTTATTATAGTCTTTGGCTTAAAATCTAATTGATCTGATATAAGGATTGCCACTCCTGCTTTCTTCTGATGTCCATTAGCATGGTAAATTCTTTTCCATGCCCTCACTTTAAATCTGGAGGTGTCTTCGGGTTTAAAATGAGTTTCTTGTAGGCAACATATAGATGGGTTTGTTTTTTTATCCGTTCTGATACCCTGTGTCTTTTGATTGGGGCATTTAGCCCATTAACATTCAGGGTAACTATTGAGAGATATGAATTTAGTGCCATTGTATTGCCTGTAAGGTGACTGTTATTGTATATTGTTTCTGTTCCTTTCTGATCTACTACTTTTAGGGTCTCTCTTTGCTTAGAGGACCCCTTTCAATATTTCCTGTAGAGCTGGTTTGGTGTTTGCAAATTCTTTCAGTTTTTGTTTGTCCTGGAAGCTATTAATCTCTCCTTCTATTTTCAATGATAGCCTAGCTGGATATAGTATTCTTGGCTGCATGTTTTTCTCGTTTAGTGCTCTGAATATATCATGCCAGCTCTTTCTGGCCTGCCAGGTCTCTGTGGATAAGTCTGCTGCCAATCTAATATTTTTACCATTGTATGTCACAGACTTCTTTTCCCGGGCTGCTCTCAGGATTTTCTTTTTGTCACTAAGACTTGTAAATTTTCCTATTAGGTGATGGGGTGTGACCTATTCTTATTGATTTTGAGGGGTGTTCTCTGCACCTCCTGGATTTTGATGCTTGTTCCCTTTGCCATATTGGGAAAATTCTCTCCAATATACCTTCTGCTCCCCTCTCTCTTTCTTCTTCTTTGGAATCCCAATTATTCTAATGTTGTTTCGTCTTATGGTGTCACTTATCTCTCGAATTCTCCCCTGGTGGTCCAGTAGCTATTTGTCCCTCTTTTGCTCATCTTCTTTATTCTCTGTCATTTGGTCTTCTATATCGCTAATTCTTTCTTCTGCCTCATTTATCCTAGCAGTGAGACCCTCCATTTTTTATTGCACCTCATTAATAGCTTTTTTGATTTCAACTTGGTTAGATTTTAGTTCTTTTATTTCTCCAGTAAGGGCTTTTATATCAACCAAGAGGGTTTCTCTAATATCTTCCATGCCTTTTTCGAGTCCGGCTAGAACCTTGAGAATCGTCATTCTGAACTCTAGATCTGACATATTACCAGTGTCTGTATTGATTAGGTCCCTAGCCTTTAGTACTGCCTCTTGTTCTTTTTTTTTGTGGTGAATTTTTCTGCCTTGTCATTTTGTCCAGATAAGAGTATATGAAGGAGCAAGTAAAATACTAAAGGGTGGCAACAACCCCAGGAAAATATGCTTTAACCAAATCAGAAGCGATCCCAAATCGTGAGATGGGAGAAAGGGGATAACAAGAGGTTCAGAAAGAAAAATAAAAAGAGAAACAATTAAGAAAAGAAAACGAATAAAGAAAAAAAAAAAAGAAAAAAAATATATATGTTAGATAAACTAGTTAAAAAATGTTAAAAAAAGAAAAGGGTAAAAGTTAAAAAAAATTTAGCAGAAGAAGAGAAAAAAATTGAAAAAGAAAAAAAATTAAATTAACTGCAAGGCTAAAGAATCATGGGGAGAAAGCCATGCGTTCCGAGCTTTGCTTTCTCCTCTGGAATTCCGCTGCTCCCCTTGGTATTAAACCTGCACTCCTTGGTAGGTGAACTTGGTCCTGGCTGGATTTCTTGTTGATCTTCTGGGGGAGGGGCCCATTGTAGTGATTCTCAAGTGTCTTTGCCTCAGGCGGAATTGCACCTCCCTTACCAGGGGCCGGGCTGAGTAATCCGCTCGGGTTTGTTTTCAGGAGCTTTTGTTCCCTGAGCGCTTTCTGTAGAGTTCTGGAGGATGGGAAAGAAGATGGCGGCCTCCCAGTCTTCGGCCCGGAGGAGCCGAGAGCCTGGGGCCCCACTCCTCAGTGCGCCGTCAGAGAACAGCGCCCAATTACTCTCGTCACCCTGGCTTCTGGCCGCGCTCCGAGCTGACCGAGCCTGCGACCGGTTCAAGGTAACCCCGAGCTTAGAGCTCACTCCCCGGCTCTGTCTCTGTAGCCGGCTTCCCCGTTCTAATACCTGCAAGCTCTGCGACACTCAGACACCCCCGATCCTTCTGTGACCTTGCAGGACCTGAGGCCACGCTGACCCCGTTGTGGGCTTCACCCCAGATTAGCCTCTGGAGCGATGTCCCTCAGCGGAACAGACTTTTAAAAGTCCTGATTTTGTGCTCCGTTGCTCCGCCGCTTGCCGGGAGCCGGCCCCTCCCCCCACAGTCTATCTTCCCGTCGCTTTGGATTCACTTCTCCGCCAGTCCTGCATTTCAGAAAGTGGTTGATTTTCTGTTTCTAGAATTGCTGTTCTTCTTCTCTTCGATCTCCTGTTGGATTTGTAGGTGTTTGCAATCTTTAGATAAGCTATCTAGCTGATCTCCCACTACCTGAAGTAGTCTCAGCCTGCTACTTCTCCGCCATCTTGACTCCTCCTATTTTTGGTAATATTTTTAAAAGATTTATTTATTTGAGAGAGAACACGAGTGCTCACAAGTGAGTGTGGGAAGGGGCAGAGGGGATCTCAAGCAGACTCCACGCTGAGTGTGGATTTGCAGGTGGGCTCGAACCCACAACTCGTGAGATAACAACCTGAGCCAAAATCAAGAGCTGGATGTTCAACTGACTGAGCCACCCAGGTGTCCCTTTATTTAGTAATTTTTTACTTGATTCTTTTAAGAGTTTTCCAATGTGCAGTCATTGCATCTGTAAATATTTATCCTTTCCTACTTCTATACCTCCACTTCTTTCTTCTTGTTTACTTGCATTATCCAGTGCAAGTTGTACTTTCCTCTTACCTAATTGTATTAGGATCTCTAGAATAAAAACTTGAATAAGCCTTGTCTATGTCTTGATTTTGGTGGGAATACTTTTAGGATTCCCCACTAACCACTAAGACAGCTTTTAGACTAAGGTAGGGGTGTGTGTGTGTGTGTGTGTGTGTGTGTGTGTGCGCGCGCGCGCATGTGTGTGATGCAGTCTTTGATTCTTCTTGAGTTAAACAAAAGTCTTAAGTTCTTTAATGCTTTTTCAATATCATTGGAGATTATTATATGGTTTATCTCCATAGGTCTAGTAATACAGTTTTTATATTAATAAATTCCTAATATTGAACCATTGTTGCATTTTTAGAACAAATGTACTGTTTATGCACTATTTCTAGAATAAAGTTACTAGGATGATTTGCTGCTGTTACTGTTGTTCTCCTCCTAGTTATGGTCAGATTTTTTTTTTTAAAGATTTTATTTATTTATTTGACAGAGAGAGTGAGAGAGCACAAGCAGGCAGAGCAGCAGAGGGAGAGAGAGAAGCAGGCTCCCCACTGAGCAAGGAGCCCGATGTGGGGCTTGATCCCAGGACCCTGGGATCATGACCCAAGCCGAAGGCAGTCGCCTGACCAACTGAGCCACCCAAGGGCCCCAGTGGTCAGATTTTATCATCTGTGCTGAGTTTAGGATTCTGAATATTCTGAAGGACTTTTTTTTTTTTTTAATATGTATGTATGTATGTATTTTCTTCAGAGACTTTTAAAGATATGTCCAAGTGTAAATTTAGGAGTCAAACTTAGAAGAAATTTTCCATTATTAGGACTTCTTTCCCCCATACAAATAGGGGTTTATCATTTGTATTTTCTTATGCTTCACAAAATGTATATGAATATTAGTCACAGGTTTTCCTTCTTTGGTTTGACTGTTTGCAATAAACATCTGGGTTTAATTTTTACCCTTGATTTCAGATCATACATATCTAAGGTTTTTAAATAGTCACTTGTGGTTTACCCAGAGGTAATAATGATTTTATGATTTCTTACCTCTTGGAGTAGTAGGATTTTCTCGTTTTTATTTTATCTGTATTTAGACTGACTTATTAAGTCCAAGGAACTGCCAGTAGATTCTTGTAGATTATAAGCTGTATCTTCTGACCTTGCTCAGTACTTTACTGTAAATTTCTCATTCAAAATGAAATTCCACTTTTTTTCATGCCTGATAATATTAACTACATCCTCTCTGTTTATTTTGTTGTAGACATACTGAACCCTTTGCTGTTCTTGAACAATCCAGGTATCCTCCCTCCTCAGGACTTTGGTGCTTCTGTTCCCTTTGCCTGGAATGTTCTCTGTGGTTAATATCTTCCTGGCTTTATCCTTTACCTTCTTTAAGTCTTTGCTCAAATGTTATCTCATAAGTCAGGCTCACACTGACTTTCTTATTTAAAATTATAACCCACCTCTGTATTTGTGATCTTCCTTTTCCTGCTCTAGTTTTCATAGCACTTAGGACCTTTTAATATGCCTTATAATTAGTTTATATTTATTAGGTTTCTATTCCCTCCATCCTTACTAAAGTGTAAACTATTCAAAGTCAGGAATTTTTCCAGGTTTTAAAAAGTAAAAAATATATATATATGACATATATATATATTTTAAACTGATATATCTACAGTGCTTAAAACAATACCTGACATAAAAGAACTCAGATATTTGCTGGATGAATGAATAAACTATGTTGAGGAGGTCTTATTTTTATTTTTATTTTATTTTTTTTTATTGATATTTTTTAAAGTATTGTGAAGTAGAAGGAAAAGGAGTCGAAGTGAGACTTTTGAGGGTTCATCCTGAACACTCTGTGCTAATAACGAGGTATATTGGGAGAAAGTGTAGGTATAGTATGTGAGGAGGTCTTATTTTTAAAGAACTCCTATTTAGGGTCAGAATAATCCTGTGTGATGTGCAAAGAATTATAAATGATCCTTTAACTTATAAAATTAATTAATTTAGACTGTTTTTCTCCCTCCAGATTCATCGAAGCAAGAACAAATGGAAATTCTATTTGAAAGATGGTGTTATGTGTTTTGGAGGGAGAGATTATGTATTTGCAAAAGCCATTGGTGATGCAGAGTGGTAAAACTTAAGAGCTCGATACACCATAAACATCAGTGGGACTATATCACATATTGTGAAACCTATTTTTATTTTTTATATAGCCCAGTACAGAGCTGCTCAAATTTTTAAGTTCACTGTGTGGAGTTTAATAAAACTATAATTCAGATGCAGATACAAATATACAATTTTATATTTCTTTCATTTGTTGTTTTAATGGGGTTTCTTTAAAAAAAACCCCTCATTATCTGTAGCATTATGAAGCATAAATGAATCAGATGTAATGGAGCATGAAGAAATATCACGTTTCTTTCATCTTGAAGTAAAATTTAAATCAGACTCCAATTCACTTTCATGATAAAGTTGGTATCAGTTATTAGATTGGGGCTGGTGTCCTCCCATCTCTCCCCAAACCATGTTACAACAGACCCTAGAGAATTTTGTAATTAGAAGGATATTCAAGAAAGCTTCTCTAGGTCTTCAGTCTACACTGATAACTAATGATATGCTGACTGTGCAAGCCCAAGTGGTCTCTTGGAAGCAGATGTCTGTTGAAACTGTACTATACTTGAACATGGAAATCTGTGCTGAGCCCAGGATCCCTGGAGCTAGGGATCAGCCTCTTTAGGCTTTGCACGTGACTGGGCCATTCTTCTTCATATTCTGCTATCTTCCTGAGAATTGTGAGGAAGTGGTTATGTTCCATTCTGTTTTCTTGAAACTTCAGATTTCTGTCTTCTTAGTCATGGTGGGTTTTTCCTCCATCTGTAGTTGTTTTTTTTTTTTTTTTTTTTTTTTTTTTTAAACAGTGGAAAATCCCTTTGCAGACTCCTTTTCCCTGAAAGACACCGTCTCTTTTCATTTGCCCTCACAGGGAATTCCCTCACTGAATTAGGGATTTCTGAAACAAAAGTTAAGAAGAGATGTTCTTTTCAGGAACCTTTTATTTTGGCCAGGCAGTCTCATCTGACACAGGAAGATCTAGATAACTCTTAAAATCAGGGAGAGAAAACAAAGTGCAAAACACAAATAGCTCTCATTTTCCTGCAGCAATAAAAACTAATGAATAGGGGCACCTGGGTGGCTCAGTCGTTAAGCGATTACCTTCAGCTAGGGTCCTGGGATCAAGCCCCACATTGGGCTCCCAGATTGGCAGAAAGCCTGCTTCTCCCTCTCCCACTTCCCCTGCTTGTGTTCCCTTTCTTGCTGTGTCTCTCTCTGTCAGATAAATAAATAAAATCTTAAAAAAAGAAACCGAAAATCTAATGAATATCCAATGAGCTGTTCTGTAATAACTCTTTCCCTTAGTAGATTCAAATTCATGAAGGGAACATTTTCCCCATCATTCTGGTTCTCTTAACAGGTAGAGTATACATGGTCTCTAAGATTCTACTTTCAGCCCTGAATGGTGTTTTCTAGGATGTAACTCTCATAGAAAATCCAGTGCTGATATGAGTGGTTTATGGTCTCAGAAAACTCCCCAAGGATTAGATAGCTCGGTTTGACTGGTCACAGGGCAAATTCCTCATTTCTTTTTTTTTTTTTTAATTTAATAGTTTCTTTTTATACAATTAAAAAAAAAATTAAGTAGGCTCCATACCCAATGTGGGGCTTGAACTCATGACCCTGAGATCAAGAGTTGCATGCTCTACCGACTGAGCCAGCCAGGTTCCCCAAATTCCTCATTTATTTTTCAGAGGCAACCCCATTTGGAGAATTTAATTTATTCCAGTACTTGTCCTGTCCTACCCAAGGGACTCAGCTACTGGTAAATCTTTTCAAAATCTGGATTAATCTTTTCTGGGCCTTGGACAACATTTGTGGGGTACTGTATTTGGCCTAAAGTAGGCAGCTGAAAGAGGATTCAGTTAGTACTAGTGAATGTGCTGCTCTCCAAACCAGATTCTCCAGCTATGCCTGCTTTATCCTCAGAGTAATTATTCTTTTCCTTATGACGCCTGCTGTCCCAGATCCTTGTCTGTTTTTTTAAGAACTTCCAAAACTTCCCTTTAATGAATGTTGTCCTTCATGTGAAATGCCCATCTTTTCTACATGGAAGGCAAAAAGACGGCACTTACTTGTTTTGTTCTTTCCTAAAATGTACCCCATCCAGGACTGAAGATTCTAGTGTTCTTGCTTTCTCCCTCCCAGTGTGGTCCAATCATTCTGCATTTGTCCTAAGCAAATTAAGGGCTGAATTTATTGAGAATGTGCATTCACTTGGGAGCTGGGGTTTAATGTATTGATTCAAATGTTTGGGAGATGTAATAACAGTTGTTTCTAAAATTCATTTACTCTTTTCCATTGTGGATTTTAAAATCTCACTTTGCTTCAGTGATTTTTTTAAATGGCATATCACAAATACTACTATGTTGGTCCTCTTTATTTATGTGGTCCTCCTTATTTTTTATCATCAGAGAAAAAAGTCACACTTGTCCCATTTGTGTCTCTGCATGCCTTCATGCCCCTGATCTTTTAAAACTGCAAAAAATCAATTTAAAAACTAAGCTTATCACAAAAGAAAACAAAGCCAACAATAATCTTGGCATGCTGATGTAAATGATAGTTTTGGCGATGGCTGCAGAGAGAATTAAGAGATTCTCCAAATTATTTTGCACCTGGTGTCCTTTTATTAGTTTCAAATAATGCCAGAAAAAAATTCTACTTCCTGAAAAGTTGTCAAAACCAGCAGTTTTGAAAATTTTTTGGTCATGATTTACACTAAGAAATTAACACATTTACATGTGCATAGACACACATAACAAAAGTTATATAAAAGTTTTAAAAAATCATGCTTAACTCTAGCACACGATGGCCTCCTATATTTCCTATTTGATTCTGTTCTGTTGCATTAAAAATTGATGGTCTTGACCCACTAAATTAATTTCACTACCTACTGATGGGTCATGACTCGTAGTCAAAGTATTTTTAATCTTGTGCTAAAGAGCGCAAGACAAATCTTACTAGTGTATTTTAAAAGAAAAAATTATTTTATAAACCCTATAAGTGGTGTTTGAGACTTGGCTTTGATATGGTATTACTTTTACTTTCAGAAACCCTTCATCATGTCCAAGCTGAGCATTTCTTATTGTATGTTATAACAAAATCCTATAAGGTAGGTTGTAAATACAGTACCTTGGCAAATGTCATCCTGTGCCCTTTTATAGGTAGAGAAAGTGTCTCTATTATAGAGGTTACAATTTGCTGTGTTAAATGAAATTTGTGAAAGTCTCATGTATCCTTATTCCTATTTCAAACTTTTTCTCCTGCTTGCATCCTACAATGCTTTCTTACATACTTTCCACCTCTCCCTAAAGGGAAAGATCTTGTTGAATTTGCACAGTCTCTTAGGGATTGACTGATCTCGCCTGGAATACCTCCTTTACCTATTTTATTCAATGTGCTATAATATGTGTTACTAATCACCCGTACAGCTCAGACTCTCCAGGGCAATGAGGTTCCAACTCTGGCTGAGGCACTCCGTTTCAGTAATATTAGTTATATGTGAAAATGAAAATCTTTAGAATGAATACAACAGTTAATTGGGGTGGTAAGCAGGGGAATTTAATGGGGATTTTCTTTTGACTCCTGTTAAATTAGGTTAATATTATGCCATTTTCATGTAAATATACTGTAATATGCCACATGGGAACTTTGTGATTTATAATTAGAAAGCTAAATTATAAATAGGAAGGCTATGGTAATAATGCTTAGGAAGGAATTCAATATTAATAAAAAATATTGCACATTTTAAAGGAAAGATTATTTCCAATTAGGAACACACTTATTGAAATCTTTGTGACATAAAGATTCTTAATTTACATGTGGACTTAATACATTTTTGAGGAAACTAAAACCAGGCCCTTTAAAGCAAATGTTAGGAATGGAGGACAAAGTACCTTTAAAAATATTTTGTAAATTTAGATGAGTGATTCTTAACTGATTAACCCTTCTTTGTCATTTTGCAAACTGCCAGTGATAATATTGAGCATGGTAAAACAAGAACAAAAACAAACCCACAAGATAGAAATAAAATTTCTTGAGCATTTGATGTTTTTGTCATTTATGTATGAAGGATTACACAGGTTAAGAATACATGAGACCAGGGTGCCTGGGTGGCTCAGTGGGTTAAAGCCTCTGCCTTCGGTTCAGGTCGTGATCCCAGGGTCCTGGGATCGAGCCCCGCATCGGGCTCTCTGCTCAGCGGGGAGCCTACTTCCTCCTCTCCCTCTGTCTGCCTCTCTGCCTACTTGTGATCTCTGTCTGCCAAATAAATAAATAAAATCTTAAAAAAAAATACACGAGACCCTCTAATGAGGAAAATACTTCTTCATAACGATTTGTCTTATGTTTTTGTTAATAAAGTGAATTAGCTGAAAGATTATTAATCACCTACCATGTATAAGACTCAAGGATAGATACAGTGGGAGAAACAAGTAAAAGAAATGAGTTTATCACTAAAGAAATTTATAAAATAGGTGAAATAAGAGGTATATGTATATGGACAATACCCAGCATGTAGCGTAAAAGACAGATGAATGATAAGGATGCCAAGTGCAGAAGTCCAGAGAAATTGTTGTGGGCCACATATTAACTTATGCCTCACTTTATTTCAGGTAAAGGAGGTGTCTTAAATTCAGTGGTTTAGAGAGAAGGTGGATTAGGAGAGCTTAGTAACAAAGTTAAACCCGTGGCTGGGGTCTTGTGGGGTGCAGGAGGAGGACAGGTAAGGAGGAAGGTATTCTGGACAGTAACAGCGGCACAGGCAGCAGAATCCAGATGCTTGGGGCATGGCTAGGGAAGAGCAAGTGGAAGAGTTTGCTTCTTGGAGAACAGCAGCAGGAGACCAAGCGAGCAGATTTAAAGATGGATTCTGGAGCTCTTTGAATGTTAGTCTAGGAGCTAAAGCTTAAATTTATAGGTACAGATGAGCTGCTTAGGACTTTGGCAGATGCGTAATAGGATCTAATAGGATTTTAGGAAGATCAGTCAGTAGTGGGTATGAGAGTGTAGCTATGGCAAAGATTGGATATGAATAAAAATGAGGGGGATAGATAAGACTCTGTGATGAAGGGGAATGGCCTGAAGTGTGGGTGTGGCAGCAGGCGTGCAAAATAAAGACTTTATATAGAAGACATTCAAAGACACTCAACAACTGGTAGGTCTTTGTGAGTGAGAAAGGATAGGA